AGAGAGGATTTTGAATGTTCTTACTACAAAGAAATGATAAATATTTAAGTTGATGAATATACTACACATCCTAATTTGATCATTATACAATATAGACATGTATCAAAACATCACATTTTACCTATAAATATGTACAATTATTATGTGTCGATCATAAAATAAACCTAAAAAGTGAAATTTCTGTATTACAACAGGGGGAAAACAGTCTGTATTACAATTATTTTAACTTAAAGGTACAAAATATTTGAACAGATACTTCAAAAAATATCAAATAGTTGTATAGAATTATATAATGTAAGTTTGTTTTTATTTTTATTATATATAAATATGAATGAAATAAGTACATGAAAATATATTAAACATTATTAATCATCAGAGAAATGTTAATTTAAACCACAATGAGATCTACTGCTTACATACCAGAGTGAAATCAATTAAAATAACAGCTGACAATACCAAATGCTGACAAGGATATGAAGTCCTCATATATTGCAACTGGCAATGTAATATGGCACAGCTCTTTGTAAAACTATTTGGTAGTTTGTTAGTAAGCATACACTTACCCAGCAATCATATTCCTAGGTATTCAAGAAAAATGGAAACGTACATCCTCACAAAAATTTGTACATGAATGTTCGTAGTAGTTTTATACACAATAGAAAAAAATGGAAATAATTGGTGAATCGATAAATAATGAAGTCTATTCAAAAATGCAGTGGAATGCTGATACATGCAAAAACCACAGATAAATCTCAAAAGCATTATCACATAAGATTATATACTATATTTTTCCATTTACATAAAATTCTGGAAGGGTAAAACTAGTGGAAGAAACTGGTACATGGTTGTTGAGGCCAGGAGCTGGGGAGGGGATTAACTGCAAAGAAGCAAAAGATAATTGGAACAGGGATGGAAATATTCTATATCTTGATTGTAGTAGTAGTTACACAATGGTGTACATTTGTCAAGCCATCAGCTTTTGCACTTAAAAATTAGTATGCTTTGTGGAAAAGTATACCACATAAAACAAAACTCCCATACAAAGAAAGAATAAATTAGGCTTTAGAATGAAAGGAATCTCAAGTCAATGTTGAGGAGCAATTTAGAGGTGAATTTTTAAAATTCCACAGAGAAAGAAAGATAGTAAAATAAACTATGTGTGTTCAAATTTACAATTTCTGCTGAGTTGAATCATCAAGGTATTTTAAAATCTTGATGTAAATCAGATTCTCATGTTCCAATCTTGCAGAAGCCTGGAAAATTGGAGATGATAGTGCTATTCTGTAAGGGATAGGGAAGTGGGCAAGTCTATGGAATTGTTAATACACATAGACCACTGAGACTGAACTTAGTACTGGGTAAAAAAATAAAGGTCATCATGGAACAGATTTGCAAACAATGAAGTAAATAGAGTAGCAGAAATTTGGCTTCGTAAAAAGAAAAAAAGCGATTGTGCCAGACCACTTCAGCGCCTCTAGTTGCTGAATTGCAGGACTGGTAGTTGAACCAAAAGCAATAAACATAATGCATCTTGGCTGTGGTCAGATATTTTGATTTAGTCAAATATGGTACCCTCACCACTAAAATTGGGAAATATGGTTTGCAGTACCAGATACAGTACTAGCTGAATAGTGATATCTAAATTGTCCTGGCATGATGTGGAGAACAGCAGAAAAAGAGTAGTGTACCACACTGGGAATATCACTTTTGTTGTTGTTGTTGTTGCTTGCTTATTGCTTTTAATTCTTTTAGGTTTCAGATCCAGTGGGTACATGTTCAATATTGTTACATGAATATATTGTATAATGGTGAGGTTTGTGCTTCTGGATTACCTGTCACCCAAATAGTGAACATTGTACCCAATAGGTATTTTGTAACCCTCATCCCCTCCTATCTTCCTCAATTTTTGGAGTCCTCAGTGTCCATTATTTCCATCTTTATGTCCATGTGTATCCTTTTCGGGTTTTGTTTTGTTTTTCGTGTTTTTAGTAGAGACTGGATTTCTTCATGTTGGCCAGGCATGTCTTCAGCTCCTGACCTCAAGTGATCTGCCTGCCTTGGCCTCCCAAAGTGCTGAGATTACAGGCATGAGCCACTGTGCCCGAACACATGTATATTCACTACTTATCACCCACATATAAGTGAGGACACATGATACTTGATTTTCTTTGTCTGAGTTGTTTCACTTAGGATAATGGCCTTCAGCTCAATCCATGTTGCTGCAAAGGACATGATTTCAGGGAATAGCATTTTGAATTTTGGGTGATGATCATATGGTGTGTTTGAAGCATTAAAAAGTTTGTATGGGTAGAACATGGGGTGAGAAATGTGTGTGAGTGGGGATGGAGGGGTAGGGGGAGTTAAAGATAGATAAGGTCGCAATACAGAGGGCCTCATAAAGTCCTCAGTAAACCGTGATAAAGAGCAAGACATTATCCCTGAATTCCCAGAGCCAGCTGGTATAAGCGTCCAGGTTGTCTTTGCCCTAGCCCAAAGTTTTTTCAACTCTATCACTTGTTGCGTCTCCCTACAATTAAATGAGTAAACAATGTACTGAGAAATTAATAAAACTATGTTAAATAGACTACTTTTGAGCTCCATTTTAATTCTTGGAGAAGAGTATAAACATGGGAATTGATTCACAAAAGAACCACAATGTTGGAAACTAGAAAAAGGTAAACACTTGCATGGCTGAGTTAAGAGAACAGACAGATACGAAACTGTTATTACAGGACTCAGATAGACTTATGCACCAGTTACTAAGCAGGTTCTTGGGCAAGTCCTTTCTGTACATTTATTTTCTTATTTATAAAATAAGGATAATAATTCAAGTCAATTATCTGTTATCTGCAATTCTGAAGTTCAAGAGCTCTGAAAATCAGAAGTTGGTTCAGTTTTATTTTGATTTCTTAGGTTTGTGGCACATTCATTTGATGGTGAAACCCAGGCTTTGTACTCAATCAGTTAGTGTGAATATTTATGAATTCTGCAGAAATAATGTTTGATCTTTTGGTGCTACCCTAAATTCTGCTGGATACATTTATATGTTATACAAACTTTACTTTTTTTCTAAAATCTAAACAATTCTGGCTTCTGAAAATTCTGGCCCCAGGGGTTTCAGATAAGAGACAGTATGCTTGTAATACCTTCCTCCTAGGGTTGTAACAGGATAAAGTTTCTTAAATCAGAACTCAGTAAATGATGAAGCTATTATTATTTATCATTAATTAAGCTTAAAAATTGGATTCCCACCCCATCCCTGAGAATGAACAAGAATTAACACTTAATGATCTTTAATCTTATTCTTAATGCTTTTACACATTTTTTTGTCAAGCTTGATTTATAGTATATCAGTTATTAAAATGGAATGTGTCTCTTAAGAAGCTGTTCTACTCTGAACACTTAACCTTCATTTCTGCAACTTTTACATACTTGGAAGGATACCTTATTTGCCTTTAGGTATTAGTTGACAGACTTATTTTTCAGTCATCTTTCCTAAGGGTCATCTTATGAAATTCATGGTTAGATTATGCATTATATACTCCTAACGAAAACACGAATGGATATGCTTATTTTCTTTAAGTTCTCAATAAAAGTTCTTAATATGTCATAAAACAATTTCTGTGTAAGTCATTAGTTAAAAGTACAAGAGCAAAAATACCCATCTAGATTTCATTCAGTGTTTCCCAAGTAGAATTTTATTTTTGTGGTTGAATTTTGGCATGTGTCCTATTTCTTCAAGCTATATAAAACCCTTTTGCTGTGTCTAATCCATGGCCTGCGGGCATGGAGGACTGATTTTGCAATACTTTTCTAGCATTGGGAAACTTTTAACTAAAAATTTCGTATGCTGGAATACTTGGAAGAAAAGGAAAGGTCATTTAAACAATACCATATTTTAAAATGAAGAAATAAAGCAGCATTTTAAATATGCGATTTTTGGTAATATACTTGCCATTAGTGAGAGTTAGGGTGGGACATATCAGTAACGAATCCAACTGCCACTATGGCTCTGGCCCCCCTGTCTTTCCTCTGGGAGGATGTTAGGGCCCACTTATGATTGCAACCTGTGTGTGTGTTTATCCTTTGTTTGGATACATGTTACTAGGTGCCCCACTCTTGGCCAGCAATTCCAGTGCCTGGGTGGTTTGCCTGAGCAAAGTGCCTGAGTGGGTAGGAATGTAGGGATAGGGCTTTGACCCAGAGCACAGGGGTGATAAGGTTTACTATAGTAGTAAGGATTAGAACGAAGGTTCTCTTCTGCTTCAGAAGTGGGAAGAGGAAGCAACACAGGATAGGATTTCTATCTGGTTCTAGGTCTCAGGCTTTCTCCACTCCATTTTGCCAACTCTACAACCAACTAACCACTACTGAACTTCCTCTCCCTGAAGAAGAAAAACTTTCACTCACTTGTGAGGGAGAAGATCTGCATCCAGATCCTTTCTGTGCCATGATTAGCTGTGCTATATCAGGCCAGGTGTTTTCAGGAGTTTACGGCAGAGAGGCCCCTTTCAGCTCTTGCATTCCCCTACCTATGACATTAGACGAAAAGTGCAGGCATTCAGAGGAGTTCTTGTTTTACAGTTTCAAGCGATCTGACCTCAGGCGAAATCTCTTCACTCTAACAGATACTCCATCTTAAAAAAAATCCCATGAACCGTAATTCCTATGAGTCTCTCCAAAGTACATTAAAGACTGGATTGATTATAATCTAGGCAGAAATTTGTCTTTATGGTTGTTGTTTAATATCACTCAGTACATGCCAATACTCTTCTTTCACTTAGTTTCTGGTCATCTATGAAGCTACTCATGTTATTACTCATTTAAACCTCTCCGAGCCTCAGCTTCTTCATCCTGAAGGAAAATAACAGGAAATAATGGCACAAATATGTTTTGATAAACATAAAACCTTTTGTAAACACAGGGTTTTATTTATGATAGCAGAAAAAAAAATCTAATAACATTGACATATGTCACATCTATAGTGGCCAGTAGCAAACATGCAGCATGCAGCTATAAAAAGTGGACAGATTTTCATTGTTTTGATTTGGAATGTAACAATATCTCCTGTTGGTTATCTCCTTCCTTTCTCCACTGGCCCCAACTCTAAGCAGTATTCCACTGAACTGAAGAAACTGTACTGCCAAATTGCAAAGACATGCCCCATCCAGATCAAGGTGATGACCCCGCCTCCTCAAGGAGCTGTTATCCGTGCCATGCCTGTCTACAAAAAAGCTGAGCACGTCACTGAGGTGGTGAAGCGGTGTCCCAACCATGAGCTGAGCCGTGAATTCAATGAGGGTAAGCAGAATGTGAAGCTCTAACTGTCCAACTCCCTTGAAGGTCAACATTCTGTGGGTGTTTCTGTTTGAGACCTACCTACCTGGTTCAGACTTCTGCACTCTGATGGCAGATCAGTCTGCTTTTATTTATTTATTTATTTATTTTAATGGCTGACAGAGTATCTAACAATAATGATAAATAAATCCTTGGCTTTCATAGTGGTTGAACTATTTAATATTAGTAATTACTAGATGATCTGAGCTACTGGTTATCTTTACTCCTTACTGCTTCCTTCTTTTTATTTTTCTTGCCTTTAAAAAAATAAGAAGAAGAGGCCGGGCGTGGTGGCTCACGCCTGTAATCCTAGCGCTTTGGGAGGCCGAGGCGGGCAGATCATGAGGTCAGGAGATGAAGACCATCCTGGCTAACACAGTGAAACCTTGTGTCTACTAAAAATACAAAAAATTAGCTGGGCATGGTGGCGGGCACCTGTAGTCCCAGCTACTTGGGAGGCTGAGGCAGGAGAGTGGTGTGAACCTGGGAGGCAGATCTTGCAGTGAGCCAAAATTGCGCCACTGCACTCCAGCCTGGGTGACAGAGCGAGACTCCATCTCAAAAAAATAAATGAATAAGAGGGTGCAAGGAGACTGCATGGTAGCTGTTCTACTTGGCCCAGGCTACCATATCTTCAGATTTAGTGTTTTCCCAGAAAGATTCTCAAGTCTAGACCAGTTGAGAGCTGGAAGGGTAAGAGAAAGGAGCACCAAATGAAAGAAATAATGAAAAAAATCAGAAGAAGAAAAGGGGGAAAGAAGATGAGAAGGCAAGTAATGGGTAAGGGGAATAAATAGAAGGCCTGGAGCATACTGTGGGCAGTCAAATAAAGGACTGGGAGTCGACGGATGAGGTATCTTGAAGGCCACGTTTAGGCTCTAGGCTTGAATAAGTCATGCCTCATATTCTGCATCTCAGATCCTACAACAATTCAGCAGAAAAGGTCGGTATTTCCAAGAGTTCCCTTAGATCTGATATTATAGTTCCATGAAGGGAGACTGAATAGAGAGTGCTGAAAAGTGGAAAGTAAGAACAGCATAAAGCATAAGCAATCCTCAGAGAGTACTGAGGATGCCAAAGGTGTTGGGGGTTAGGATACTTTATAGAAAAAATATTAAAATGTAAGGATTGATAAATATAGAGAATATAATGTTAGAGAAAATTAATGGAAGAAGAAAGATAATGGATCAGAATTTAAAAGAAGAAAATAAAGTCAAAATACTCTTTAAACAACTATTTTTTACACATTAATTTCGAGTCCTTGCCAACATGGCCACATTATCCGTACCTTTGTGTCTTGCTTTTCACTTAGCAATCTGCCATAAAGAATATTGCAATATAGATAGACTTCATTATCAGCCTGCCTGACTTAGTATTTCACCAAGATAGCACACGATTTTTAAGTGTTTTCTCATTTTTTAAACATAATAATGGTTTTTAGTTTTAACCACACTAGATGATGCAGCAGAGAACATTCTGATAGACTTAGCTTTTTACTTTTATTGAATGGCTTTTGTAGACTGGGACTATGGGACTAACAGCTGTTAGAAACAGCTTTACAGGTCCTAATTCTTGGAGCATCTTCTTTCTTCTAGAGCTCTGCTAAGTATCACAATTTTATGAAACTTTACTCAGTCTCTTTTTTTAAAATTGCATCCCTTTTCTTATACCCAACTTGGGACTCCTTCAGCACACAAATGCCAGAACTTTTCTTATCTTTATAATCAACACAATGTTTAAAAGTTGAGGAGGAGGAAAGAAGAAAAAGTGGAAGTCATATCCTTGCTATCTTCTGCTTCTCCGTGTATTTGCTGGTCAGACTTTTGGGCAGCATTTTCTCAGTTAAACTGATTTTTTAAAAATTAATTTGCTTCTTTCCCTTTCATTTTCCAGGAAGCTGGCAAAATTTCCTCCGTGGGTGAGGTCAGAGATATAGTTATAGAGTTCCATAAAGCTTGAATCCTTAATCTTAAACTCCAAATTATAGGACTGTTCCCTTAAATATAGATGTACATTCCAGTCCTTCCTGTGGCTATAAAGGTTAAGACACCTTCATGTATTTGATATCTGGCTACAGAATCTGTTCCTTTCTTCAAGGATGCACATTTTCTTTATTCTACGGACTATTTATTTTGCCACCAACATCTTGTTCATGCAATTCCATGTTATTTTCTTTATTTTTAAGGTAAAGAACTAACTCTTTTATCATTTTCTGCTCTGCAGGACAGATTGCCCCTCCTAGTCATTTGATTCGAGTAGAGGGGAACAGCCATGCCCAGTATGTAGAAGACCCCATCACAGGAAGACAGAGTGTGCTGGTACCTTATGAGCCACCCCAGGTAAAAAGCAAACCAAACCAAAACACAACACTCTATGGACTGAGCAGACTTGAGAGAACATCTCTTTCAGCAACAGGGATGTTTCTAGCATCTATCACTGTCGTAGTTCTTGTCATCAAATATGTAATATTTTTGTATTTTTTTCTACCTATTCTCCACATGCTTTCCCTTCAGAATATCTAAATATACACTGGATTAACTTGGTAACACGGCTCTGTGCCCATTTTCCCATCTTAAGGGCAGATAACAATTGAACTGGCAATTGGGTGTATACATGGGATTGTTTTATCCAACTGGCAATTGGACGGGTAGTGGATGTGCAACAGTAGTGGATGCAAGTGTTACCGTAAGTGGGAAAGCCCAAGAGGGACCTCTTAGCTAAAGTTTGAATGAACAGATGATAGATTTGTAAATCTGTTGGTGAAGCAGAGTAGTGTGGTTGAAAATACACTGGTATAACAGAACCCAGGTTCTTTGGTTTGCCGGCTTGCTGTGTGGACCTTCGGCAACTCTCTCTCTCTAGACCTCAGTTGCCTTACCCATAACTATGTACTTTGGACTGGATTATTTTTAATTCTGAGAACATTTTGAGCTCTAAGATGTTATTAATGCAAGTGTATATTCAGATCTATATTGTACCGTTTTATCCACATAGGGGAAATATTCTTGGAGCATTGCTACTGTTTTTGGCAATTATTCCCCATTTTCCCTTTTCAGTGATATTCCTGAAGGTGGTATAGCCTATTTGAATTACATGATGTGGATCAGCTTACAAATGAACAGGATCAAAGATCACAAAATCTGTTAAAGCCTGTCTCACCTAATGTAGTGTTCAGTGTTGCAAACATTAGCTTTAAGCTTCCCTGGAGGCAAGATGAAGAAAAATCTACAACAGGGTTCAGAGTTTGCCCTTTTAGGAGGAAGCATATCACTTCATCAGAATTGGAATTCCTTAAATAGAGGGAAGAACTGAGAGGGAACAACGTCAGTTTAAACCATTGTTAACACAGATTATTTTCCCCTTGTTTTCAGGTTGGCACTGAATTCACCACAGTCTTGTACAATTTCATGTGTAACAGCAGTTGTGTTGGAGGGATGAACCGCCGTCCAATTTTAATCATTGTTACTCTGGAAACCAGAGAGTAAGTGGCATATGTAAAAATTGTCATTCTACACAAAAAATCATGAGCAGAGGGCAAAGTGAAATTGTGGCTGCTTTATCATTAATTTTGCATGTAAAGCGGAGAGCTTGTCCTTTGTGCTTTAAATCCTTGTTATAAATAGTTACATAAAAGATCTAAGAAAGTGGAGACAAAGGAAGGTGGGTAAAGTTAGAGGGATAAAAAGAGCTAGAAAGGTGTGCAGTCACTTCATACCTGAATTCTTGACATTTGGCTGGAATTGTTCTGATTAGACAGTGGTCCTCAAGGCATTTGACCGTTTTTTTTAAGTCTGCGCGGCCTTAGGGGATTTTATCCTGAGACATCCACTGGCTTAACTCAAGTTTCCTTCAAAATATGTAGCTAAATACAGCTGTTCAGCTAATAGCTTGGAGGCTCTTTGGAGAACAAATGGAATGTTATTTACTAATATTACTTGTGGCATGTTAGCACTTTTGTGTTCTGCCAAGTACTTTTGGGTCCATTCTCAAAGCTGCCATGGCTAAGCTGGTAGTACATTAGCGATGGCCCATATGGGAAATGGAAGTGGGAGATCTCCAGGGGACTTTCCAAATGCTTTGAATTTAACTCTTTCTTCCCCTTTATTCTAATTCCTAGTGGGCAAGTCCTGGGCCGACGCTGCTTTGAGGCCCGGATCTGTGCTTGCCCAGGAAGAGACAGGAAGGCGGATGAAGATAGCATCAGAAAGCAACAAGTTTCGGACAGTACAAAGAACGGTGATGGTACGAAGCGCCGTAAGTAGATGTAGTGGCCAAATGGGGTAGGGTTGAGTCTACTCCAGATGTTGGAGAATGGGGTGATATTGGAGAAGCTGCATGATAAGACCTGTGACCTTCAGCAGCAAGTGGGACATCAGCCCTCAGAGCCAGTGAGAATAGGAATAGCATTGAAGTGGACTCCAGGCATGTCCTATAGCTTTACACAAGCAGGTAGTCATTGTGACAATGTCTTAGTCCAGGGATTCTCAAAATAAGACTTCCACACCAGTAGCATAAACATCATCTATTCACAGACACACGCTGGCAAGATACGGGGTTTCCTGCAACGTTACTGAAGCCAGAGGGTATTTCCCAGCATACTGAATTTCTTTTATTTTTCCCCACCATCCTTCCACCTCCTTATTGCTAGGATCACAATCAATGTAAAAACAATTGTACCCAGTTAAATGGATGCTTAGGAATAGAGCCTCTAATCTTACACGTGTTGCTGGTACTACTGTCTGTTTAATATGTATTATTAAATCTGATTAATATTAATATGTACTTATTAAGTATATTTTATACGCATTATTGCTTTAGAAATGTTCCCAGGATGAGACTTGTGTTTTTCCTCCACCAGCGTTTCGTCAGAACACACATGGTATCCAGATGACATCCATCAAGAAACGAAGATCCCCAGATGATGAACTGTTATACTTACCGGTAGGTCTCCCTTGGGTGTTCATGGTTGCTTCATTTTAACTTTCTTTGAATGAGCTTTTACAGTATGATCATCATCTCGTTATCTGTGGCAATGGGAAAGGAGGTGTCTTAGTCAGTTGAAGCTGTACAACAAACTACCCTAGACTAGAGGGCTTATAAACAACAGAAGTTTATTTTCTACAGTCTGGAAGTCTGACATCGAGGTGCCCCCTCTGGTCGGGTTCTGGGGAGAGTTCTCTTCTGAGTTGCAAACTGCCATTTTCTCCTTGTATTCTCATGCCGTGGAGAGGGCTAGAGAGCTCTCTAGGGTGGTTTCTTTTTTTGTTTTTTTTCCATAAGGGCACAAATCCCATTAATGAAGGCCCCACTCTCATGACCTCAATTACTTCCCAAAGGACTCACCTTCTAATGTCATCACAATGAAGTTAAAATTTCCATCTATGAACTTTGGAAGGACACAAACTTTCAGTCCATAACTGGGATGGGGGAGTGGGGTTGACAGCTGGTGATATGCAGGAGAGAAAATATTTATTTTTTTTAATTAGAATATTCTTCTTTCTCTCCACAGTTTTGGACTGTGTTACTAGCATGAGATTCTCTACTTACCTACCCACCCAACTAAAGCTAAACTCCTAATAGAATTTTTCTTACCCAAATATTTGAAGTTAATTTGCCCTTCATTATTTCAGAATGATAAGATTATCCTAGGCAGCATGGCCATAGAAATTTAGGCCTAAAATTTTGTCAGAAAAAGTTCACAGAATTGATAATGCAGCAATTATAGCCCTGACTTTGATGTCTTTTAGGCAGCACTATCAAGAAAGTCAAGCAAGGCAGAACCCTGAGTTACAGTTGGCCCTCCCTATCTGTGTGCTCCATATCTGCAGATTCAACCAATCACAGATCTAAAATAGTTGGAAAAGCACAATAAAAAATAATAATACACCAATCAAAATAATACAAATATAATAATATAGTAAAACGACTAACTGCATAGCATTTACATTATATCAGATATTATAAGTAATCTAGAGGTAATTTAAAGTATACAGAGGGTGTGCATAGGTTACATGCAAATACTACACCATTTTATATAAGGGACTTGAGCAACCTAGGATTTTAGTATCCATGGAGGCCAGGTGGGGTAGGTAGTCCTGGAATCAGTGCTCTGCTGATACCAAAAGACAACTGTATATGTGAATGGCCAGAAGTCTTAGCCCAGTTATTATGTAAGAACCTCATTAATTCCTACAAGGGACATTACTTCTCTTGAGATCACTAATAAGATCACTTTATTAGATTATGGTGGTAGTTAGTTGAATTCTTATTGCATTAGGTCTTTGCCATGTAGGGTGGCAATGACGTTTTGGTGGCTGGTATAGCCCTTGATGCCATCTAAAGTGACATGAGACACAGCCAAGCATGGCCAGGAGATTTAACCATGAACTACTACCCTGGGATTGAACTAACAAAACTCAACAGGTTTAGGTATGCTGCACCTTCTTCCTCATCTTCTTTGGGTCCTGACTCTCAGGGGAATAAATTCCCAGTAGACCAATCAGATGGTGAGTTAGCTGAGATTCTCAGTGTCTTGGTTCTCGAGCTATAAATGGAAACTGACTTGTGACATTAAAGTAAAACATTACCCTGATACACTAAATATTCCAAAAGTCTTAATATGTTTTCAGCTGATAAAACAGGAACTGCCTGAAAAGTTATTTTAAAATTTTAGCTTGTACTAAGAAGGAGGTACCCTTCTTAGTGTTACGTCTCAAGTTGAGAGAAGGCTTAGCCTGAATAACTTATGGGTGAGGAAAAACTCCATTAATTTATTATGTATTTTGTTGGTGTTTGGTGAGTGGCAAATGTGCTAGACCTTGAGTATTTAGAGTTCAGTAGGACACAATTCTTACTTTCAACTACCTTGCCTTCTACTGAGGGCACAAACAGTTATAATGTAATAAAATAAACATTTCCTAGATCAAGGCCTAGTGCTGTGTGAGTATACAAGACGTTTCAAAGATGCAAACTATAAGGGTAAGATCAAGAAAAGCTTCTCAGAGAAGGGGCCCCACAGCTGGGATGAGTAAGAGTTAATTCAACCAAAGGTGGAGAACGTCTTTCGTTTCTGAATTCTGACTGATTCTGCCTTTCCTACTGGGTGCAGCAACTGGGGTGAGGCAGGTAAAGTGCCTAGGGTGCAAAATTTAAATAGTCCCTCACTCCCAGGGCAACACACCTGTGCTAAGTGCCTCTCTTGCCTCACTCTAGTCCTGGCCCTGCTCATCCGTTGGTTTGTTTGCTGTTGTTTTTTTTGAAACAGGATCTCACTTTGTTGCCCAGGTTGGAGTGTAGTGGCAGGATCATGGTTCACTGCAGCCTCAGACTCCCAGGCTCAAGCAATCCTCCCACCTCACCTCCCCGGGTAGCTGGGACTGCAGGTGCAGGCCACCACGCCGGCTAATTTTTGCACATTTTGTAGAGAAAAAGTTTTTTCCCAGGGTGGTCTTGAACTACTGAGCTCAAGCAACCTGTCCCCTCCCAAATAGCCGGGATTATAGGTGTGAGCCACCATGCTTGACCCTGGTCGTAACTGTAAAAGCTTTTAAGACCTTTTTTAAAAAAGATTTTAAGGTACTCTCTTAAAGAAACGTATTTTATCGCACATGAAAACTTTTATCCTATCAGACATAGTTACAATCTATTCTTATTTTTTGTAGTAGTTTAGTTTTATGAAGGTGTTGCAAAAATGGTATTGATGAATATGAATCATCTCATCGCTCATAAGATAAATTTAGGATTAGGTTTTTATGCACCTCTGGTCACATATATTTCATCAACAGATAACTATATAACTGCATTTGTTGTGTGTTTCTGTTAAGAGACATTTTATTTAATATATACTGTTGACTCATTAACATCAGACTCGTGGCCAATTAGCCTTATAACTCCTGCCTGAATGAAGTTTCTCTAACACACGTATTTTCTCCATAAGGCATGGAACAGCCTTCTCCCACTTAGGGACACTAGATAGCACTTCCGCACTGCCCTTGAGGGTCTTTTAAATAACAAAATCACCAATGAAAAGCACAAATATGTAAAAATGTAGTGCTAAATAGATCATGTAAAGAATGTGGGTTTACAGCATAAGAGCTACAAGACGACAGAGCATCTCCTTGTTCGAACCCAGCTGGGAACACGCACAGGTGATTCAAATTTTTTATCACTGCACAGGTCCGAATGACCTCAAAAGGGTCCAGAGTATTGATTTTCATGTTACAAATAAACGTTAGCAAATAAACAAATTGCAATTACGGAATCCTCGAATAATGAGGATTGACCACACTTCTAATAGTTCTACAGCTTTTCATGTTTCCTTCTTTCCTTCTGCTCACTTCCATAGGTTAGGGGCCGTGAGACTTATGAAATGCTGTTGAAGATTAAAGAGTCCCTGGAACTTATGCAGTACCTTCCTCAGCACACAATCGAAACGTACAGGCAACAGCAACAGCAGCAGCACCAGCACTTACTTCAGAAACAGTGAGTGTATCAACGTGTCATTTTAGGAGGCATGAGTGAAGGTGACTTTATTTAGATCAGCAATAGTGTGATTGATGGGCAATGTGGAACATAATGGGAGATAGCAGATTGTCATAGATTCAGATGACCTGGTGTGGCAACCCTCTTTCAGTTGCAACCTTTTTATGTGTCTTATAACCTTCCTTTGGGAATTCTGCTTATGTTCTGAAATTAAATACAAACCATTTCTGGTGAATTACAGAGAAACTCACACTAACAGTTAGTTCTCTTCTCTATATGCCTGATCCATACACACTAATAGTAAGTACACACTCTATTTGGTAGTAATGTGTATATTTGAAAACATGAAATCATTTCTCATCCCAGTGGATTGTCTTGTAAATCTCCTGGGATGCACACTGTCCACTCTTGGGAATAACATTGTAGACCAGGGATAGCAAATAGGCTTTACTATAACATAAAGTGGCTTGTTTGAATGCCGTAGTGAGAAGAATTCTGAAACCTAGTGCATGATAATTGGGGAAATATCTGGGTGCAGAAGGATAAAGTAGCATCATGTTGCCATATTTTAGCATCTCTGCTCTAGATTGTCTTCCGGCAGTACAAATTTTTATATAAATCAAGCCAGACTTTTCAAGTATATTACCATGTACGTATAACCTATTTATATGTTAAGCTTTGCCTTGAATCTTGGATCTTTCATGATGTTATTTTATGACTGACTAGAATAGTTCTTATGACAGGATGAGAGGTTGACCAATCAGGACCCTGTTTATATTTACCTTTCTGTGGTTAAAAATAATCACTGGTTTAATTAAATATTATATATGTCCTGGAAGTATTGTCAGGACTGTAGATAGGTGTAAAATATATACATTATGAGCCCACTTGAGTAATGTAGACTTTCAACTTCATACTTTAGGCAAAAAAGAAGTCAAAAGCTATCTTCCAGAGGTGAAGATTATGTTTTACAATAGAAATACAAATGAACAATAAAAATGGTTATTTTCTATGTTATTGGCTGTTGTAGGGAGTTAGCTATGGAAAATGTAATAATGAGGGCTTATTATTATTATTATTATTATTATTATTATTAAGTCTCGCTCTGTCACCCAGGTTGGAGTGCAGTGGCACGATCTTGGCTCACTGCAACCTCTGCCTAGCAGGTTCAAGCGATTCTCCTGCCTCAACCTCCCGAGTAGCTGGGATTAGAGGCGCCCACCACCACGCCCGGCGAATTTTTTGTATTTTTTGGTAGAGACGGGGTTTCACCATGTTAGCCAGGCTGGTCACGAATTCCTGCCCTCAGGTGATCCACCCACCTCGGCTTCCCAGAGTGCTGGGATTACAGGCATGGGCCACCATGCCTGGCCGTATTATTTTTCTTTAATCAATATGATCGTATCTCTGATGGTGAAGAAACATTTTCCGAGCACCTGTTGTCTACAGGGTGGAGTGGACGGCAGGGAGAAAAGCGCACTCTCTGTTCAGAGGACTTTACGCTATTTGAGCATCCAAGATCGTTTTTGGCCAGAAGGGATCTCACCATGTACTTTTAGCATAAAAGTTTTGCAAATTTTAATGGTATGGCTTTATTTGTAAGCCCGAGCAGAAAGTTTAATCACACAGAGTATTCTGAAGGCGAATTACGGTTGCAGGCACAATTTCCATTGCTGATCAGATGGATGTTTTGGGATGTCAGATGGAAACATATACTAACATATTTAAGTGAAAAATGACTTAGTTCTTATAAAATCATACAACCAGGATCAAAGAAACAGAGGCCTGTAACATCACTTATAGACCCAGGAGGGATATCTACCTTTCCCAAGAGAAGTGTGTCATGGTATTAAGAAACACCCCCAGATTTCCTCCTGTTCACTCTGGAAGTTTGACTATACCAAAATGACCCCCAAAGAATCACTAAGTAATGTATCATGCTGAACTAGTTACTGTTTAGTAGGCTTTCTTTTTTTTTTTTTTTTTTTTTCCACTTCATAGGGAAAGGTCTTATATGTAGTAGAGGAATTGGCAAGCTGCTTTTTGTAAAGTCCTGGTAGTAGATATTTAGATTTTCTGGTCTATATTGTCTTTTGCCAACTACTCAGCTCTGTGGTTGTAGCACAAAGACAGCCGAAGATAATGCATAAAGGAAAGAGAATGGCTGTTCCATAAATGGAATTTGCTTTATGGACCCTAAAATTTGAATTTCATGTAATTTTCACATGCCATGAAATATTATTCTCCTTTTGATTGTCCCTCCCCCTACTAAAAATTGTAGGCCGGGTGCGGTGGCTCACACCTGTAATCCCAGCACTTTGGTAGGCCAAGGGGGATGGATCATGAGGTCAGGAGTTTGAGACAAGCCTGGCCAATATGGTGAAACCCCATCTCTACTAAAAATACAAAAGATTAGCCGGGCATGGGGGCGCGTGCCTGTAGTCCCAGCTATTTGGGAGGCTGAGGCAGAAGAAGCGCTTGAACCTGGGAGGCGGAGGTTGCAGTGAGCCAAGATTGTGCCACTGCACTCCAGCCTGAGCAACACAGAGAGACTCCATCTCCAAAAGAAAAAGAAAAAAAAAATACATATATATATAAACTACTCTTAGCTTGCTGTAGTTTGATAGTCTGTCTTACAGATAAATGAGATGGTTCTCCTTTCATTGCTTCTTGAGTCTCCAATTTTGCTTGATAGGTGTACTTGGAAGTTACTATGTATATTCCAAATTAGAAAGGTATTAAAAGATTTTAGGAAATCCTAAAGTGGTTTTTCAGGTGGCATTTCAGTATCTAATAAAAACAATACCAGCCCTGAATAGATATCTTTTTTGTCTGAGAAAGTGAGGCATGCCTATCCAGAAATAAAATGCAGTTAATGACAACCTCATTGTCAGATGAGGCTGGAATAGTTGACTTGATTCACGTCGCACGTTCTTATTGAAGATCTGCTATGTGAAAGCATTAAGGATAGAAGAGAGAAAGATGTAGCTCCTGCCTTCCCATGGTCTACAATCTAATGGTGAATTTCTAACCTTAACATTCTGAGTTTGAAGAAAGCTCTGGAAATTTATTCTCAGCATTATGCAAGTTAATAGGACCATTTTAAACAGTTTCTGTGGATCATATGAGAAAAAGAATAGTTTCATGTCATCGTTTTAGAGACTTGACAAGCCAGGAGAATTGACATCATTCAGTTCAGGGACATATGCTAAATGTATTTGTTTTTATGGCATACACAAAAACACACAACCCTCTTTTTTTATACCATGAGTATCCCTTGCTTATTGTTTGACTAGCTCACATTGCTCTAAAGGGAATTTTTAACTCATATTTCATAAAATAATCTGTGTCACCAGAGCAGAAAACACATGTTAATATTGTGTTATTTTTAAAAGCACACAAGATTTTAGGGACATATTTATACTTTTTTGCATGTGTGACTACAGATAGATAATAAGGAACTAGTAGCTTCGTAGTTCCCTGTGTGTTCATTTAAATGTGTTACATGCATGTTTTTGGGTTGATATCTCACAGTTGCGATAACTTGTGCATGAAAATTAACAGACTGCAAAATTAAATCTTTGCAAAATATAGACATTTGGTCTAATTATGTCTTTGTAACATTACATACACATGGGTCTCCAGTGATTGATATGCATCTATATAAATCTTTCAGTTGTATTCTTCAGCTGAGTGTTTTTAGCTCTTATTTTCATGCAAATCTCCAAGAAAGAGCATGAATGACTAAACAAAGAAAAATGAAAATCTAATTTCCTGACAATCATTTGAAAAGAATAAATCAGCTTGGAAAATACCTATAATAGCCTGTGATTTTCTTTCCAAAAATGTAGTACCAATTTTATGCTGGTAAGGAATCAATTTTGTATTTTTCTTTATAGTACAGGGAAAATTAGTGGGAAGAGAACGTGCTTTCTGTAAGGTGGTACTACAATATTTTTACTTTAATTACTTCTATTAGCTTCCCACTATGTGTTTTCTTCTGCTTGCTTTTCATTTCTGCATGGTTTTTCTTTTTTAAAAAATTTCTTCACAATTACCTTCATGATCATAGGTTTTATGGAAGATAGACTTTGCGGAGTTGCTGTGAATCAAATTGTTACAGATACAAGTAGGCTTTACACTACGAAGAAATGTGATTTCAGTTAATTTGCATATATTGGAATAAATATAGAGTTATGTTTCTAGATGCCAGAATCTAATAGAAAGACAAATCAGACCTGTGTTTAGACTTCTTGCCTTCATATTATCAGGGGCATTAACGGTTAAGACAGATTTGCAGAAGCCTCTTGAGACCTGTTTAGCAATGTTTTGACTTCTGTACTTCAGATCAGTACTATTTCTTTTTCATCTTTCAATAGTTTTCCCTTATTCTTGGCTTCCAACATAAAAATGAGGCCGACATCGCTTTGTTACAATTTGGCTTAGGTTAGCTCTTACTTTCCTCTGGAAATTTATTTTTGAGCTTCTACAGGATGAATTTTATTTAAATGATAAAACAGATCTGTGACATCCTGATGAGCCCTTAGTGTTTCCTTCTCTTTCATGATCACTTGATAATTGCGGCTCATTAGTAACACAAGTCAGAGATTATTAGAACAAAGCAGGATCTTAAGTCCATGGTTCCAGCCCCTCACACCACAGCCGGAGAAACTGAGGCTCTGTGATTTTATAGCCAGTTTATAATAAAGCTCAGACTAGAGTCAGATTTAGAACACAGAGCTGTTTGTAATGTTGTGTTGTGCTTCACTGGCAGTTAAGTAAGTAGTTAATTATAAAACTTAAACATCTATTTCCATTTTTCTGTCTCTTTTTTGTATGATTGTTTTAGAGATGGAATCTAGCTATTTTTCCCAAGCTGGACTTGAACTCCTGGGCTCAAGCGATCCCCTGCCTCAGCGTCCCAAGTAGCTGCAGACCACAGGCACACCCCACTGTGCCTGGCATGGTTTTCTGACTCTGTTTTCAGTTACTTGGGATTT